CACTAGGAAGAATGTATGCAATGTGTTAATTATTGAAACTGTCCTACCAATTTGGTTTGAAACTGTCTCATTGCTATTTGTTTCTCAATAAAATTATGGGGGAAAAAAATAGTGCTGACATTAAAACAAAAGACCTCTAAGTGAACAGATTCAATGTTACGGATTTTAGTTCCTATTTAATTGAGATTCATTATTGGATTATTAAGACATGAGTCTACCATAGCATTTTGTTTTCATGGCTTGGACATTTTATTTATTTTACATTCTCATGCTCTGGGTGAAGCCTAGGACCTGGTGCCTGCTAAGTACACACTCTGTCACTGAGCCAAACCTGAAGAGTTAAAAATATCCTAATGAAATATACAGTTATTTTTAAAAATAGCTTTAGTAAGTTATGTTTAAAATCAAATCCTAATAGTCTGTACAAAACTATTGATCCACTATCAATTGTCAAGGGTGCCAAAGAATAAATAAGCAGACACAGGTCCTTCTCATCGGTTTTCTTTATCGCTGAGGGGCTTGTTCTTTCAGAACCTAATCAGGAGGTAGCCAGTGAAAGTTGTTTCTTTCCAAATATTCTTGTTAATTTACTTTCTTTGTTTAACCTCTAAAACTGATTATTCATTAAAAGTTCAAAATAATTAATACAGGAAAAGCATATTTCTGGTTTTGAGAGGGATCCATATGAACAGTTATTACTTTTCCAGGTAATGACTTCCAAGATGCCAACTATTTGTAAAGGTTGGATAATCTGAATTACATGTATAGAAGTGATTTTAAATCTAATTTTTTATAGAACTCTGTTACCGAATCTTACATAGATTTTCATTATTATTTTCATAGTCACTGAGCAACACATAAAATACTAGGAATCCAATTCTACTTAAATATGGAATGGTAGCTATTTTAAAGTCAAGATTTTTAAAGTAGTAGAATTAATTATAAGAACCCACTTTTAAAGTTTGTATTGAATATATTAGCATTTTAAGATTAATATTTTTGAAATAAATAGAAAAGATACATTGAATTTTGAAACGTGTCACAGTTGGCCATTTTTATAGAAGAATAGTATGAAAAAGTTGTGTCATTTACCTGCTTAGCTCTGCAGTTATTCTTAGATTACAGAAATAATCATCTTTCTTTAATATTTTACTAATTAATCTAAAGAGACTCATTTGCTTGTTGGGTTGGATATGTGCAAAGGAGTTTTGCCTATTTCCTAGAATGAAAAATGAGTTTTATCAAATTATGGAAAGGAAGTTTCATCAAAACCTACGTTGAATTTTTTTAAGGATAATTTCACCAATATGACCTTTGAAAATGTACTTATTTTAGAAATTGAATTTTTAAAGACAAACTATAAACAAAGAAATGAATTATAAACTTGCTTCTTATTACCCACTGTCTAAACTAATGCAGACTCACTAATTGTGACTTTCCTTCAAATGTGTAGTTTATTCTGCCTTATAAACTTCATTAGCTATTTATTTACTTTGTTTTTTAAAGAGAATAATTTTTAACAAAACCTCTGGAAATGATACAGAATTTCACTAAACAATATACTAGGAATTCAACAATAGTTGTTATACTGCATATTGTTGTCTTCAAATTAGTTGTTCAGATTACCAGATATAAGCATGCAAAATTGGTCAAAGTAAAGTTATAAAAAATTAAAATGGAGAAAGAGGAAAAAATTAAGTATTAACTATTTTTTTCAAAAGGTCAGCAGAAATCAGTAATACGATTATCCAAGCTATCCTGTAGATATACATAAGTATCTTTTTTCCCCTCCTTTCTTCCCCCCCCCCCTTTCTTTCTTTGGTTCTTTCTCTCATTTCGATTGTTCCTTCCCTTTGAACAGATTCTTTCCCTTTCACAGTATTTATTGTACCTTTCAGATTTTACTCTTTCAGGTTCATTACAGTAGGGAGACAATGCAATGTTTGTGTATGTGGGTCTGATTTATTTCACTTATGAATATGGTCTCTAGTTGCAACCATTTACCTATAAAAACCTCAAGTTTATCTTTTCTTATAGCTGAGTAATACTCCATTGTGTAAAAATACCACAACTTTTTAATCCTTTCCTCAATTGATGAGCATTTGAGTTGTTTCCAAGATTTAGCTATGACAAATTGTGCTGCTATAAACATGGGTGCACATATATCACTGCAGTATATTTTTAATTCTTGGATTAAAATACCCAGGAGAAGAAGAGCTGGATTTCATTAGCATTTTTTCCACTAATATACTACATTGTTTGAAGTGAAGTCTAACATAAGGTTTAGAATGTTAGTATTTCTCATGGCTTGGACCTAAAACTCCTCAAAAAGGAGTTCAGAGGTGGAGTTTTGGAAGGTGATTGGGTGGTTAGCTGAGGTCACTGGATCATTAGCTAGTCATCTAACTTGATCAGTGAACTAGTTGAAATATATTATGGATTCATGATTTGATGACATTTTTGGGAGATGATGGAAACTTAAATGGTGGGCCCTACCTGGAGGGAGTGGGCCGTGGAGGATGATTTTGGGAACCATGCTTGTCCCCAGTCCTCCCTCTCTGACTCTCCAAATCTATGTCCCGGCTGCCATGAGGTGCACAGCTTTCCTCTGCTGTGATCTTTGTCTCACCAAGACCCAAAAACAGTGAGAACCAGTTGACCATGGAGAAACATGAAACTGTGAGCCGACACATGCCTTTCTTTAATTTGTTATTCTCAGGTAGGGTATGTTGTCACTGCGAGGAAAGCTAACAGTACTTGTAGAAACCCTCTAAGTTCTACACGGAGGGCTAGGGAAGGCAGTATTCCCACTGTTACATGTTCACAGCTGGAGGGGGTTCTAGAGAATTTGACACTGTGATTCTCTTTGTCACTCAGCAATCTCCATGCTATCCAATTAGCCATTTGAGGAAGTACTCTGAGTCATTTTAAATGTGTACAGAATTTGAGGAGCAGCAGAAACTCCAGGGAGACCATCAAACAATCTCAGAGAGGTATGCTGTTAGGTGATTGTCATTTCATAAGCAGACACCTGCCCAGTTGTATTATATCTTATATGGAGAATGTATAAACAGAAAGGGGTTGTTAGACTAAGCCTTCTGATGATTAATCACTTTTATGTCAATATGACTAGATGATGGATATCCAGGTAGTTCATCAAACATTGTTACAAATGTTTCTAAGAGAGTATTTTGTGTGAGGTTAACATTTAAATTGGTAAATGAGTAAAACAGATTCTCTTCCTTAATGTGGCAGGCCTTGTCCAGAGTCAAAGACTTGGATAGAACAAAACAGATGACTCTCTTCCAGGTAAGAGAGTCCTCAGCAGAGTGCCCTCAGACTTCGTCTGCAACATTGGTTCGACTGTCTGAGGCCTTTCAACTAGGATGTCAGCTCTTTGGGCTCTGTTGACTCACTGCAGACTTTGTACTTCCCAGCCTCCATAGTTATGTGAGGCGATCCTTTTGATAAATCTATTGGTTTTATTGCCCTGGACAACTGTGACCAATCCAGGCCCCATGAATTAAAAAGGACCTCAAGGGCCAACAAACATTATGGAGTGAATCTTAACCAAGTGCACTGGGCCATCTCAGGTACGTTAGCAAATTTATCTGTACAGAGTGACAGGATAACAGTATAAATCTCTACAGAGCAACTAAGATCAATAACCTCCCCTATTCATTTTCATATTCACCAATACCCTCATAACTGAACTTTCCTGTGTAACGAATTAAAATATGTGCTCAAACTGCAAGGTCGAGGACACCGATTCAACAGTAGTGAAATTATTGTAAGTGCCACGTATGGGTCTCATCCCGGATGTCAGCTTCAATTGCCAAAGCTGCTCACTCTTCAGTCACCTTGATTAATGCTCCAAAGCCTCTGAGAAATACAACAAAATCTTAGTGCTTCTTTGCAAAATATTTATTTTTCTTCAGATATGTTAACAGACTCAATTACCATTGGTTGGGTTTTTAAAAAATTATTCATACTGAGGAAGAACTACAAAAGTGACAGAGGAAAAAAGTATTTGTACAGAGGATTTCCAAACTATAATCCTTTAGGGTTGTTTCAGGAAGCTGTAGAGCTGAGGCACAAGGTAATCTTTGTAATATCCATCGATGAAACCTTTCCCACTGTTGTGCACAAACCAACAGGGAACCTCTGTCCCAAACACAATGTCTGTTCTGTAGTCTTTCTGCAAGCCTCTGCAAGGAAAACAGGGTGTGTGGTCAGCAAGCAGGGGCACCTCCCCTGGAGCAGTCAGATGCCAGATTCCTGCCTTGCCTTGCTGACTTTTATGCCCCTTCTTATTACTCTCTCTGTACAGCCCCTGCCCACCTTACCCAAGTTGTATGGACTGTCAGAATCTAGACAGTGGTACTAATATGTCAGAGTCTGGAGGTTAATGTTGGCAGGGTGGAAAATAAGAATTATGCCTTACAGAATTCCAATAACCCACACAGAGTTTTAACTTCATGGACCCTCCCAGCAAGATAAAGAGCAGCAAATTAATGCAAGTGGGAAGAACTCTGAAGTGTTGTAAGCTAATCTCACCCTTCACCCAGAGACATCTCTTAGGCTTACATTATGGATGAGTGTTTTATGTTTTATGTTTTTCTATATTGTAAACCAATACTAGCTTTGTGGTTCACTAAGAATCCACTGTTTTAGTTCACAAATCTATTTTTTGTATAGGCATGTATCATAATTTTATGGTTTATTATTGTAATATGATTTCATTAAGCACATGACATAAGCAATCAGAATGTTGTTTCTAAGAAAACAACATTGGCTGCTTTATAAAATTTCTTCAAAGACAAAAATTGCTTTAAAAGAATATTGAATTAGACATGGCTGAGACAACTGAAAAAGACTATAAAGATGTATAAGAAGTTTGCACTCAGAATGTTTTCTAAGTGTCTAAGTTCTCACTTAAGGATGAAGCATATGGATCTGATTTTTGCAAGAAAAGCTACACAAAAATGCATTCAGTAAATCCGTGCTCCAAAAGAAGGCTTTCCAAAAAATACATATTCATAAAACCATGCCACTTTCATGGTTCATGTGTATTTTTATTATTTCTTCTTTAGGATGACTGTTAATGGTTTAGACATAGGAGTCCCCTATGTTCACAGTGAAGGTTTTAGAAGGCAAGTAGGCCATAGAGGCCTTTCAGGAGATGGGACTAATGGGAAGAGGCACACCACGGGGTGAGGCTTTGGGCGCTGGTCTCCCTTCTTTTCCTCCTTTCTGCTTCCTGACTGCCATGAGGCAAGCTGCCTTACTGCACCATGCCCCTTCCACCTTGGAGCCAGCCAGCCATGCAACTATGGACTGGAACCCCCAAAACCATGAGCCAAATTTAACCTCTCCTCCCTTGAGTTGTGCATGTCAGCCATTTTGTCCCAACAATGGTAAAATAACCAATGCAGCAACTTTCTCAGTTGTCCAGCTTGTGAGCGTAAGGCTTCTAATGCATGGAGATGAGAATAAGAGATCAGTAAGTCTTGGTGTTTTGTGCCGCACACTTCCTTACATGGACACTACTGGCATTTAAGATGGGCTGTCTGAAGTGTCTTCATGCAGGTGTTACATATGTGTCTTTTCTTAGTACATTGTTGCATTTGACAGACTCAGACCTTAAAATGGGTTTTTTAAACTCTTGTATTTCACCAAATCAGTCCAGTCTGCCAGGAACCCTTTTGGTCACTGTCTTATGTATCCAAAGCTTACCTGGTGACAATCAGCTTCTGTCCTTTTACCTCCATGATTGCCTCTGGCTTCTGGGGGTCTTTTCCTGGTCTCTCATTGGAGATGTATATCTTTGGCTCGTGCATGAACTGTCCTAGGGAAGCAAAGCTCAAACATTTACACATGACTCAAGGTAAAATAAAAAGGCCATTGCTGAGTTTGAGTGATATGTTGGTGCCCCTCCAGAATTTTGGGGGTAAAAAGATGGACAGAAAGGTAAAGAGAGTGGCAATGGGAAGGAGTCATTCCTGAGAGCTAACTCACAACCTCTTTATATATAAGGTCCATCTGCTGGACCATAAGTAACTGCCTGCCCATCTGATGGCAGCAAGGTGAGATCCACTCTGGATCTCAAATCATAGGACAGGATTTAAGGTGGTGTTGTCAAATGCTTACATTGCAACCCTTCTTAAAATGCTAGGCACTATTGGTCTGGATGCCCTGCTTGTTTTCACAGCCTTCCTAAACCAGCCTATCCCACTGCAACTAAAAGAAAACATTCAGCTTTACACTTTAACTGGCTCTGCCCCTTCTTTTAGCTTACCCAGCTTGCAATGCTGAGATGCTACCCTGGACACCTTTGCCTTCTGGAACCCTCCCTCTGCCATGTTGATCCTTGGCTCCCCAGTCACAGTAGCCACCTCCCCAACTTCTAGCCACTACCACCAAAGTTGCTGAAGACCTAGAGTGGTCCCATGTGTGCCAGACAGCTGAGAGATACTTTACCTATGAGTCCATGTGCCTTAGGCGAGAGCTTGTTTGTGGTGGGGACGTAGATCCCCAGAAAGTCTACATTGACTGGGTGCTTCTTCCAAACACGATGCAGCAGAACAGAAAAGGAGATTTCTTTATCCAGGGTGAGAGTCACAGCTTTTTCTTTCTTCACGGACACAAGCACCCTAGTGTGGAAGACAACCAGGAACTGAAGGATTCCAGAGCAGATGTTTTAGCAAGCCATCCGGCCCCTACTTGGAAGACTCGTTCCTCCCTACAATTTAGCTAGTTTTCTTGGAGCTTGACAAGGCTCTTGCTATAGAGTGTTGTTGTTTTAACTCCTGGCTCTAAACTTCTGCTAACTGGCACGTTTGTAGATCAACAGTTATTAACAGACACTAGCTGGGAACTTATTCTTAAGAGACAACACTATAGTGCTTACAGTGTGCTGTCTGACACAGAGACTGCTCCGGATTTCAGTAGTGCTTGCTTGCTGTGGGTCAAATACAAGACTAGGCACAGTGGTGATCTTTGTGCCAAAAGTAGTATACTGAGTAAGAATCATTTTCCTGAAATATCAATTTTCCTTTGTTTTCCTTTCGATGATACTGAGGATTAAACTCAGGGTCTTATCTCTGAGATACATCTCCTACCTTCTTTTGAGACAGTCTCCCTAAGTCACTAAATGACTCTGGCTGGGCTCAAACTTGGTGACCCTCCAGCGTCAGCCTCCAGATTGCAGGCATCCACCACCATATGAGACTTCCTTACATTAAAAATGATTGCTTTAAGTTCTGTGTTGACGTGGTCTCCCTAGACCTGGGTGAAGAAGGGGCCCGACTCAGAGGCCACAGTACTTGCCTCGAGTTCAGCAGGCGGGCCGTATCAGACCAGGACAGGACGGATGCATGAGAACCGTGCTGTAGGGTGATGTTTTCAGTGCTCACTTCTACTTTCATGTCTTCACTTTGGAAATAAAATCCCAGTTTTCCAAAATAAGTGCTTAGTTTTCCATCTTGGGGCTTCTTGGCACCAATAAGCTGACCATTGACTAAAATTCCTACAGAAGAAAAAATGTTTCCTTTTTGTACTTTAGCCATTATTTTTTTCTGCATGTGTGACAGCATAATTTGAATGTAAAAAAGTTGGTATTTTGAGAAAATCATCTTGCTTCAGAATTTATATAATTGTTTTCCTTATAAATCTCATTTTATAACATTTTATTACAAAGTGATTATGTTAAAGTAAGAAACTAGTGTGAACTTAGAGTACATACTTTGAAGTATAATTATTCAAGACAATATATTTATGATTTAATTTTTTACAAATTATCAGAGTGTGAAAAATATAGAATTCCTATTAAGGTGAAAAAGAAATAAACCTAGGTAGTGCCAGCGAGGTACACAATTCTCTGTCTAATTCGCATATAGGTTCCTTTTATTTTTTACCTGATTCAGGATCCGAAACCAGGCTGAGGATTTTTCCTGGTTCTGAGTCAATATTGAAGCAAACATTCCTCTGGCTTTTTGGTAGGTAGATAATGAAATGTGGGTCATTTTCAACTATAAAATATACAAGAAAATGAAAAACACAATCACCCAAAGGATGGGGTAGCTTTAAATTTTGATTCTCTTGAAAGTAGTATATTGTGGACCCCCACAAAGACTTCATAGATTCTTAAGGACTTGAGGTATCTGAGTATAACACTAGCTAGGGTTTGCTGGACTTCTATCAGGTATGAGAAACACATTTCATAACCACTCTGAAAGCATCATACAGTGGGTGAGACCCAGGCAGCTTCAGAGAGGGGTCCACAGTCACATGGGCAACACTGGACCCCAAAACCATCTTATCAGTCTAGAAACCTAGGAGAAGTATTGCACTCTTTGGAAATAGTATTTTTAAAAGATTATCTCAACATTTGCCATGAAAGACTTGTTTTACAAAGCAACTGTCTAAATGACTCACTCCCTAGTCACCAGAGAAGTCTCTTGCGCTTGGAAGCCACTCACTACAGTGGCTGTTGGGGCTTCAGCATGGAGATCTTTCACACAGACTACTGTGAGTGGCTTTGGAAGGTCATTGTTTTAGTCACCCAGGTCAATGCAGAGGCCCTCCTGAAGCTCCATAGCCAGGAGGCAAGGGCAAGAGACAAGAGAGGTTGCTGTATGCAGCATTCTTTTTTTTTTTTTTAAATTTATGTATTTGGTACAGGATCTCACTACACAGCTCTTACTCATAGTGATCCTCCTGTTTGCAGCCTCCCCAGCACTGGGATTACAGGCATGCACCACCACACCCTATTCGGTGGACAGCTCAGTACACCCCGGGGGAGGGCTGGTGCAGCATGTGGGACTGGGGATCAAACCCTGGTCCCTGCACTTGCCAAAGCAGGTGCTTAGTCTGCTGAGCTATCTCACCAGCCCTTGTAAGCAGCATTCTAAGCAGCAAGTCCCTTGCAGTCCACAAATAAGTTTCAGAGATGAGCTACAGGAGCCAGGGGAGATCACTTAGCACATCCACCCAGAGTCCTGCAAAGCTTGCTCTGTTGCCACACAGGGCTTCCAGCAGAGATAGACACATCCCTAAAATCTGTGCTGAGGGTGTTTTGGTAGAAGAGTGTACATTCCAGGGAGTGCAAAGAGCAGCGCTCTCAGGGAACTACAGTTCCTTTCACCTTTCAGGAAACCAAGTGAGGCACATAGGGCCTTCCTTAGTGAGGGGTAGACTCTCTGAGAAATGTTCAAGCTTCCTTTCTCGCAAGAGGAGAACAGAGGGAAAGAACACAAGTTTTCTCCCAAGGTTGCCGGCTGTCGTGAAACTGTGAACTCTAGTTGTTAACACTGGTGCAGGGAGCTGGAGAAATCCAGGCAGAGCCTGAGTCAGCCCTGAATCAGTCCTCCAGCTTTGCCTGCTGCTAGATACTTACTTTGGTTGACTTGGAAGATCACTGATGGCTGCAGCCTCACAACAGAGGGGCTGTCAGTCTCCTACCAGATTTGGGATGGATGATGCCTCTGTTGAGGGCTCATAACACCCACAGTAGTTTAGGTTGCTTTTGAGGGACTGAATGGCCACTTTTGTTGAAGCCACTAACTCCTCACTTGGGCCTGACCAGGTGTCCAGTGGGTGACATTTTGGCTTCAGAGCCCCAATACCTTACCCTCAGATTATGCAAATGCTACCATTTTCTGAACATGCATCTCTCAAAGACCTATGGGAAGTAATTACATGTGCATACCATGGATTCCTTCACTTCCAGTCATCTTTTCCTGTGCTTTCAATCACTTGGCTTCTTTGTCCCATAAATGTCACTAAACTTGTGTTCTCAGGGAGATGGATTCCCAAGCATTCATGTTTGCTTCCCTTATGAAGAAACTCCCTGTTTTGCAACACTTATCATTCCAGTGATTGGCACACTGCATTATGGGCCTCATTTGCACTTGCCCTTGCTGCCTCAGCTGGCTTCTCTGTCTCATATGTTGAGAGGGCAGAGGCCACAGGGGCTGGCCACTGAAGAAGGAATCTACTCAAAGAAATGAACTTTCCTGTGTAATTGTCCTACAGATAAATGCGCCTACTACCTCTGGCTCCTGCCAAAATAGTCCACAAAAAGGGTTTTATCAATTAAAGATTGAGCAAAGGCAGGTGTGGGGGGTACACATCTGTAACCCCATCACTTGGGAGACAAGTCAGAGGACCACTTTGAGCTAAAGGCTAGTCTGGGCTACACAGTAAATTCAAGGACAGCCTGGACTTCATAGCATGACCTTGGCTTTTTTCTGTTTATTTGTTTGGTACTAGGAACTGAGCTCAGGACCCTGTGATTGCCAGGCAGGAGCTGTGCCACTGAGCCACATCCCTGCCCAAGACGGTGTCATTAAAAAAAAAAAATATTATGGAAAAAAATAAAATAAAAATATATTAAAAAACAAAAACAAAAAAGTAAATAAATAAAACAGTACAGTGAACTAAACTAAACTAAACTAAAATGCTTCAGCAAAACTAGACTTTTTATGTTCTATTAAAAGAAACAAATCTCACAGAACAACATGTATTGTGGAGGAAAGAACATTAATGTATTTTAGATCACTAAATTTATAGATCCTAATCTAATAATAGCATCCTTTTATTGACGATTATGTGCTTGTTATTGCTTCAGACATGTTTCACATTTAATCAATAGCCTAGTTACCAAAAAAATATATGTATAAGTACCATGACACCTATTTTCAGTGGTAAGGAAGCCGAGAGCAGACACATTAGGCAACCTGCTCGAGTTTGCGCAGATGATGTGAACTCGGGAGAAGGGGCACTGTGCTCTAACTGGCCCCCTCCGGATTCCTAGGGCAGGCCTAAGCCGAAGCCAGCGCAATAGCCTCAGATGCGATGGTGAGGGCCCGTGAGCTGGAGACTGTGTGAGAGATCTAAGAGGAGACTCGGGAGAGCTCTTCCTCTCCCAGAGAGCACAAAAAAGAGATCAGGTACCACCAGAAAGAGGCCTCACAATGTAGCCCATCCAAGGTAAATGAATAGTTGTTATTTAGGCCACCCCCTACCCCCACCCCCACCCTACCCCCACCCCACCCCCATCCCCCACCTCCCCTTAGGGTGAGGCGTGCTTCTCTCAGCGGAAGGAAGCTCTGGCCTGTAGAGGTGGCTTTGCCCCAGGTTCTGCGGGCTGAGGGTGGAAGCGGCAGGGGGAGCCCTTACCTCGTATCACGTGGGAAGGGGGTGTGGCCTCCATGGGTGGCCCTGCGACCAGAGAAAGTGCAGTCGGTGGTGGTGATGGCAGGGCAGATTTGGCCCACGATGGGATGGAGCCGGGGGCAACTTTGTTGCCGTAGTAGAGAGCACCTATGTGGGAAGATATGCCCCATCAGTTCTTAGGTTTTCTTTCCTGTGGAGAACCTGTCTTGTGCTCCCCTGCAGGTTCTTGGTAAGGCTTTCACCCGCCTCCCTTTCTAGAGAAAGCAAGCAAGCAAGCAAGCAAGCAAGCAAGCAAGCAAGCAAGCAAGCAAGAAAGAAAGAAAAAGAATTTTTTGACACCGATGCTCAATTGCTAAGTTGGCCCAGCTGGCCTCTATTTTGCCGTCTTCCTGCCTCAGCTACCCAGAGTGCTGGGATAGCAGATGCGCACAGCCACACCGCGGGCTTTGTTCATGTATTGTTTAAAAAGATGACTTATAGCATCAAATATTCAGTTTCTTTGGTTATACTTACAACATTGATCTGATTTTATTACAAGATCAATATTCACCACATGCCAGAAATACACTAACGGCAATTGTTTAAGCACAATGAAGAAAATCCAAGCTTTGATTTTAGAAGTGGGTGTGGGAGTTCATAGGTGTTTAAAATTCCTTTGGGAGACGATGAGCAAAAATGTTTGAAATCCACAGCAATAAACACCCTGAAAGCCAGTTGAAGTGGGGAGCTTGGGCCCAGGGACTCGGGCTGGGAGCTGGGGAGGGACTGGGCAGGGAGGGCCGCAGCGGGTGAGAGAGTTGTGTGGGTGGGTGGCTGGGTGGCGGGCTAAGGCAGACCTGAGCAGCACGAGAGGGAGACATCCTGTGGAGCAGCATCGGCCAGCATGCGCTCGTCCCCATCGGCACTCTCAATGAGCATCGAGGTGAAAGGCGTCACAATGTGGTGTTCGAGGGACATCTGCAGGATTGTTTTCGAAATCTTCCTCTTGGTGTCAGCCGTGGGGGCCAGACTTCTGCAGGGAAAGATGTAGAAGCATTACGGATTAGCACCGGAGGGGGGCGCTCAGCTGCATCCCCACCCACCTCTGCTTCCGATGTCCAGGCAGGCCCCTGCAGAGGGTGGAAAGGGGTGCACGAAACCAACTGGCCTCAGGAAACTTACTCTCCTATCTAGGTGAAGGGTTTTTTTTTTTTTTTTTTGGTGGAACCGGGGATTGAACTCAGGCCCTTGTGCTTGCCAGGCAAGCGCTTATTCTACTGAGCTATCTCCCTGGCCCCAAGGGTTTTGTTTTAAAGACTAATTTTTTTTCTGTATTTTAGGGAAGGGTCTACAGGGTGTTCAGGGTCTCACTACTAGATCAGACTTATACTGATTCTCCTGTTTCAGCCTCCCAGCACACCGTCTCAATTGTTGTCTCAGCACGCCCCAGGGGCAGGGACGGTACAGCAGGTCCAGGGATTGAACCCCTGACCCCAGAGCCTGTTTGTAGTTGCTTTAATCCGCTGAGCTATTTGGCTGGCCCACTAATGACTAACTTTTTTGGGGAGCAGTTTTAGGTCAACAGAGGTTCAGCAGAAGCTACTGAGGGTTTTCCCATGTGCCCTGCACACCCCAAGCATCCCCCGCTACAGCTGGCATCCTGCACCAGGTACACGTGTTACGCATGATGACATAAGTCAGTGCTTTACTTCAGGGCTTATTCCAGGCATTTTTCAGTCTACAGTTTGGACAAATGCATGGCCCATATTCACCATTGCAGGAGCACACAGGGTAGTGAAAACTATTTCCTAAAAATAATCTGTGCTCCCTGTATTCAGTGCCCCTTCTGTGAATCCATGGTGACCACTGATCTTTTCATAGCGATTTTTAAAAAATCAATATATAACTTCTCAGCAATTGTGTTCTATGCCTTTAAGTCTATCCAGTGTCCAAAGAACCCAAATAATTTTGGCTTACCTCAAATCACAGTTTATAACCTTGTGGGGTTTTTAAAAAATAATCTTACTGACATCAGAAATTTTGAGCCCAGTTATACAATGATGTTTTATTTTCCCAGCCTACTTTGATGACCTTGTTCCATCTTTTCAAAATCTGACCCAACAGGTGGCCTGAGGCTTGTGAATGATCACTTCTATCAAACACCTGCATGTAATTGTGGTGTAGGTAACTGTAATGGTCCAGGGTCTATGCTAGGGAGTTGAGAAGCAGCTCACCTGAAAAGGCAGAGGTGATACAGATAAGCCTTAGCTATCCCTCCCATAAGGGACATCATAATGACATAATCCCCCATTTCTTGTTGGACAATAACCATTTTCAAGAGTAAATGCAAATGATGTACTTTTCCACCCAGTAACCTGTAGGAATCTCACATCACATTGAGTAAAAGAAGCCAGAAACAAATTGCATGGTTATGTGAGGTTTGGCAACAGACAAAACTAAGGAATGGTGACAATACCAGAATAATGACTGCCAGTGCAGGTCGGAGGAAAAGAAACAAGGGATCATTCAGCAGCAGTACGTCTGGATCCAGGTGGCAATTATAGGAGTAATATATATTCCTTGTTAAACAACAGAGTTACATTCCTGCAACTAGGTCATTAAATGGATTAGTCACTAAATAAATAATTGTATGTAGCATGTACATTATGTCTTAGTTACTTTTCTTCTCACTGAAAGAAAGTACCCAATGCCCAAAGTTAAAGGAGAAAGTAAAAGTTTATTTAGCTCACAGCTTGTTTGTAGAGGTTTTAGTCCATAATCTGCTGGCTCCAAGATAGGGTGGCACATGCTGGAGGGCCAACAGTTCATGGTGTCAGAAGACAGCAAAGGAACAAGGCAGAGCAAAACAAGCCTCTTTCTGTCCTTTGTGTTGTATCCAGTCTACTGGGATTAGGGTGGTGTCAATCCAATCAGTGGACTGATCCATAAAGCACCCACCCTTAATCCCAGCCTTGCACTACTCAATGACACACTCTATATTCAGCCACCTCTGATAAAACCATATGACCACATAAGGTTTTGGGGTGACAGCTAGACACAAACCATGACACATTACAATAACTATGTTGTTGATCAAAGACCTGGAGGAAGTGGATCCATCCGAGGCCATAAGTCTTTCTTTTATTTTGTTCTGTTGCTGTACCAGTGGTAGAACTCAGAACCTGCCCCTTGCCAGGCAGGCATTTATGCTACTGAGATATCTCCCAGTCCCCATTTTACAATATTCAGAACAAAAAAATGGTCAAAGGGAACTCTAAATTGATGACTTTGCTTTTATTTGCATAACTTGTATGCAATACTGTAATTTATAACAAAATATAAACTACAGTACTATGCTGTACAGTATAACTAGAAAAAATACACTATCATATAAATAAGGTTTGCTGTACAAAAAACACACTAAATGTACAGAACTGTACAGAAAAAAGGTGGGCCATAAGTTTGAGCAGTTTGTAAGTCTGAACAGTACACTGTTGTAAATCCAACAGACATTAAACATGTATGTATATATATACATATATATATAATTGTTTTTGCATTCTTTGTGAGATGAGGATCTCATGATGTCATTCAGACTGGCCTTGAGCTAAATTTAAAGCCCAGGTTGGTCTCAAATTCATGGTGATCCTTTGGCCTTAGCCTCTCAAGTTCTGAGGTCATAGGCATGCACCACCATGTCCAGCATAAATTTGTTAAAATAAATACACTTCACAGACTTTAAGAATGTTATATCTTATGTTTGCTAAGTATAAAATTCAGTGAGGACAGATTTTTTTTCAGTCCTTTGAATAAATAAGTCTAGTTTCATACCCACTTACTCTATTTTTTCTAATGTGGAATAAGATGCTATTTAATTTTGTTCTTCCATAGCTAATATTTTTTTCTATGTATATACTTTAATGATTTTTTCTTTGCAATTAGTTTTGGACAATTTCATTTTTGTGCATCTTGGTATGATTTTATTCATATTTCTTGTGCAAAATGTTCATTTTTCTTGGAAATGTGGTGTTAAAATTTCAACTAAATTCAGAAGTTTTAAATCTTTAAATATTTATTGCCTACACCTTCTACTTTGAGAATTCTAATTATATGAATATAAGTTTCTTGATTTTGGCACAGAGCGAACTATTACATGACTGATCTGTAAACTCTTCTTCATGTTTATTTTAGACACTTTTTATCATTATGTTCATTTAAGTTTGTAAATAATATTTTTACAGTGTGCAATCTATTATTAATCTCATGTTAGGTATTCATTTCAGAAATATTTTTCTAAAATTCATTTGTCAAGAAGGGGGTGCTGAATGAAGACAGGAGACAGAAAAAGAAATGTTTCAGGACTGTCCTGCTACAAGGTTGTATATGGTTGGATTTCTGGACTTATGGGTAAACATAAGAATTATATAATTCTTTATGCCTATTTTTAAAAACATATTTTAATTTTTTAAATGTTTTTTCATCATATTCTGCAGGGACTTAAAGTTCAACATATCAATACTTGATGAAAAATACCTGTTCCATGTTATGCCTAAAATGTTTGATATTCAGACAGTGAGGTTAAGCTTAACAGCCTACTTTGTATGGTAATAACAATAAACTTCTCTTCTGGAGGGTTAACAACCTAA